ACAGTCTGATGGGGACTCCTTTGTAGGTGATTGTCCCCTTAGCTCTTGCTGCTTCTAGGATTCTCTCCTTCATTTTAATTTTGGCTAATGTAATTATGATATGCCTTGGTGTGTTTCTTCTTGAGTCCAACTTTTTTGGTACTCTCTGAGCTTCTTGGATTTCTTGGAAGTCTATTGCCTTTGCCAGATTGGGGAAATTTTCTTTTATTATTTGTTCAAATAATTTTTCCGCTGGTGGTTGTGTCTTTCCCCCTTCTGGTACCCCTATAATTCGGATATTGGAGCGTTTAAAGATGTCCTGGAGGTTCCTAAGACTCTCCTCATTTCTTTGAATTCTTGCTCCTTGACTCTTTTCTGTTTGGCCATTATTTGCTTTCTTCTGGTCCACTCCATTGATTTGAGTCCCAGTTTCCTTTTCATCTCTATGGGTTTCCTGTGGAATTCCATTCATTTCCCTTAGTTTAGCCTTCATATGTTTCTCTAATTTGTGGCTATAATCAACCAGATCTGTGAGGATCCTGATGACCAGTGTTTTAAACTGTGCGTCTGAGAGTTTTGCTATTTCTTCGTCGCTTAGATTTATCTCTGGGGCTTTGAGGTCTTCCTGTGACATTTTTGGTCTGTTCTGGCCCTTTAAATGTGAGAAGCGGCGCCTTGGACTCCCAGGTCGCTGGGTTGTGACGCTGTATGTGGGGGCGTGGTCAGAGCGGGGAAATGGCGGCGCCCTCTACTGCCGCAAGCCACGGGGACCGCCGGCCCCGGTCCAACCGCCCACTCCCTCGCCCGTCCGCTCGCCCGCAGACAGGCAACCGCAGTCAACACGCAGCACCGCCTCCCCACTGTCTCCTCAGCAGTCGCTCACCCGGTGGGTTGCTCGGTCGCTCACTAGGTCCAATCCTGGGCCTGGAACCCGTGCGTCTGGATTCGCGCATCTGGACTCCGCGCATGGGTCCGTCAGACTGGAGCCCTCCTGTGCAACTCCTCACGAGACGCCGGTTTCGCCCCTTACCGGTCAGGCTGAAGAATTTGTTGTTAACGGACTTCCGAAAAGTTCAATTTTCCGTGTTCTGGTTGTGTTCTCTGGTGCTAATATTTAGTTGTCCCTAAACTTGGTTGTGTGAGAAGGCACGGCACATCCACCTATACCTCCATCTTGGCGGAAGTCCCTCATTGCATATTAATGAGAAAAAAATGTTTCACCACTTTGGGCTTGCTCAGGATTTGTCGCACTTGCTAGAACTTGTATGAGTGAGTCACAATGCTGCCCTGCAAGAGAAAATGCTTCATTGTTCTGTACTCATGAGTTTTGGCACTCCTCAAGAGTTCTGGAATGAATTAATGACAAGTATCCAGGTACCACTCTAAAGTTCTATCACCTAGCTTAGTTTGTGACAGACCTAGGCTGGCCTAGGAGGAATGGAAAATCACCAGGCAGGAAACTGCACTGTGGGAAACCGCCTGCCGACACTACCAGGACAAACAGATGCCCGGCTAAGATTGGGGTCTGGGGTCAGCCTATCCAGCATAACAAGATGCAGCTTTAATGTGAGGCTGACAAGATGTATCAAGAACAATGGTCAGCAGATACTGCACCCAGCAACCAGCTCTAGCCAATCAGACTCTGACACCCCAACCAGTTACCTTTCACCGGGTTTTGCACTTAAAAACCCTGCCCTAAGAACAACCAAGCGAGTCTTCGCCTCCCTTGGTTGGCTCCACTTTCCCCTCTTATTCACCACTAATAAATCCTGCTCCTTGGCTCGCTGCATGTGTCTGGTTTCTTGAACAACTCCAACCTAATAATTGGGGATTTTGATTTACTAAAGTAAGTGTCTTCCATACATGGCAGAAAAATCCGTCTACCTTATTGTCCATTCTTTGGCTCAGAAAATACTGGCACTTCAAAAAACATGCAACCAGATGTTTCTTTAAAGAATACCTTATAACAGTATATCCCAAACTGGAGCTCTTTCAGACCAAGCATATACATTAAGAAAGCATATTAAGAGTTAAACATTGTCCCTTTCATTTCACTCACTACCAATTTGAATAGAAACACACAAAATTCTAGTTCTTTTCTGTCTTGTAGAATGCACTGATGGGCCTTTCTGGGACCAGTGCCTTGTTTTGGAAGGCTATTAATTATTGATTCAATCTCCATAATAGGTGCAAGCCTATTCAGATAGTATAGTATGTTAGGCATTTTTTAAGTAAACACTTTATTGAAGTATAACCCACATAAAGTACTCCAAAGTTTCCAAAGTGAAGACACCTGTGCCACCGACACCTCACTCGTGGGTTGGAGCGTCACCAGACCCAGGACACCTTGTGTCAGCCAAGTGCAGACTGACACGAGTGCAGGCCCCTGCCACATCCCCAATTTTTTAAAGTTTGGGTCATGCCACTTGACTTTTACAAAAGACCTGCATTCGTATATTTTCACTAACTGAAAGAACTGAAGAGTATTTTCACTTTTTTGAAAAAAGGTGCATAGCAAAAATAGTGCTCAGCATTTACTCTGCAGCAGTAAGGCATTGAAGCAGCTCACTGTGCTCTCACGGCCGGTGTTTATCTTATCATCTTATTCCTACTTGCACTGTATGTTAGTGTTATTTTATGCTTGGCTTTCTTTTAAAATTTTTATCTATCTGTCTATGCCAGTATTAAGTTTTATGTATTGTTTGGTTTAACTTGGTATGCATTTTTGGGGATCTAGAAAAACTAGAATCTTTTTCCATAAAAATGAATGGTAATTGCTTCTCTGCTTCACATCATTTCAGCTTATGAAAGGCTTCACAGGAATGCTCTACTTTGGGATAGCAAGGGAAACCTGTATTGGATTCTGAGGGCAATTATTCTCATTAATTCAGAGTACTTAGTAACATTTGAGATTCCCATGAAAAGACAAACCTGAAAAGTCCTCAGAGAACTGTTAGGTCCTTTAACATCATCCTTGGGCCTCAGAAACTACCTTAATTCCCTCAGGCAACTCACTTTCTCCTGGCACCACTGAAATGTTACAGGTATTCATTACGGGTATTCATACGTAAACGTGTTCAGAGTAATTTTCTGCTGAGAATTAAGGAAACGGCTAAGGCTGTCTTAACTAGTCACAGAAACAGATTCAGCAAGCAGGCTGGGCAGCATGTAGATTCTGATAACTATTCAAAAATAGGACAGAGACATAGCCAGGCAACAGATTTTTCAGGGGCAGCCGTGTGTTAAGTCTTACATTCCCTTAATAACAAACAAGGCCACCCATCTCCTTGACTGCGTAAGATTTTCAAAAGTAACTCTTGTCAGAATACGAACCACTCCAATTTCTATTATAGAAATGATTTAATAGATCTATTAACCAGGTATTTGAGAAGGAAAAAGTTGGGGAACAAAGGGAAGAAATAGAATTTATAAAGTTGGAGGAGGTGCCCTGGGGAACTGGCCCCTGGCCTGTGTGGTAAGGTGGGTGTGCAAGGGCTCTAGAGGTGTGGGAAGCACTCCGGGCCACTGCTGCTGGGGCCATCTGCTGCACATGAAGCTGAAGAGCAGGGAGCCTGTCCCCTTTTCTCCCCTTTCTGCTCTACATCCTGCCAGCAAAAAACCAAAAGTGGTCTGCAGGTCTCTAGCCCCTACCCTTTCAGAGTAGGAAGGCAGAATGAAGGTGGGTGTAAAACAGGTCACAGCCAGTGCTCCTCCTCCACTGACACTGACACTGGAGGGGCGGACACGCATGGTCTGCAGATAGCAGGAGGCCCTAACACCGCACCTCTGAGTGCGATTTCAGAATAATGGTATGGTCTAATGAATCTGTTTTGAAGTATACTTCTGTTTTGAAGTACACAAGGTATTCTTTACTTAAATAGTTGCAACTGGCAGGATTTTCAAACACATTTTAGATTATTTTAATTCAGATCCAGGTAAATCAGTTATCCAATTTTGTTTTAAAAAAAAAAGTCTATAATTCACTACACTGATAAAAGATTTCCATTAAACGTTTTCTTTCCTAATGACAGGAATGTGTAAGTGGAAATGTAACTCATGGGCAGTACCAATTTGAGCTAGAGAACTTGAGAGTTTGGATGAGGGGTCAAACCTAGGCCTCTGCCCACTTTCATGTGTCATTGGAAGATCACACTGTCATTTGTATCTTTCTGTAAATAATGAAAATGTGATTGACTACACAAGTTGACATATTTAAAAAGTGAATGTTTCTATTGAGAAATGTTCCTTTTAATCCTCACTCATGGACAATCTTACTGATTTTAGACAGAGAGGAAGGGAGGGAGAGAGGGAGAGACATATCAGTGTTAGAAACATTGATTGGCTGCTCCCTCACACACCCCAACCAGAAACTGAACATGTGACCTAGGCATGTGCCATGACTGGGGGGTTGAACCCACTACCTTTCAGTTTTGGGGATGATGCTCCAACTGAGCCACATCAGCCAGGACAAGAGAAACATTTTTTAAGGACCAAATACTAGTTTAATATGACCACACTTTTCAAAAACTCCACCCCATTCAGGTGCTAAATCAGTAAACCCTAGCCAGAGGCATCATAATTCTATGGAGGTGGGATCGTGATCATAATCAAAATATAGCTGCGCAGCTGAAATGAAAATGTGTCTAGAAGACAATTCGGGAAGCCTGGCACCTGCCACAGAAGCAAGCCATTCTCAAGACTGTAAGTGTGGACAGCACACACGGAAGGTTAGAAAGAGTGCACCAGCATCTCTTTCATTCACAATTCATACCATCACTAAAATGCATGTCAATTCGAATCACAAAAATTAGCTTCTGCTTTATGGACTCTCCTAGTTTTCGTTTTATTTTATTTTTAAGGAAACTGATAATCAACTTTAGATCCAAATCTTCCAAAAGTTTTTAAAATCTAAGTATTTCTGTTCAAAATGTAAAAACAAACAAACAAAAAACCCCCCACAAAAAAAAAAAAACAACCAACTTTTCAGGTGGGAAAAAAAGTGATACAAAGACACATCAATGTTCGAGTACTTTAAAACAAAAAGGTAGATTTAATGCAGTAACAACATTAATCTGAGGATAAATAAATCCACAACAGACTTTAAAGTTTAATATATATATTTTTCCTTCGCAGAGAGAATGGTTTTCTGAAAGCACACAGGACTGAAGAAGCCAACACAAACTGGAATTCCCTTCTGTCCAGGTGAAACAGGTTTGGTCCTGCCTGCTGCCCTCCTAACACTTGGTACCAGACAAGGTGAGCGCTTCTCTCACTTCAATCAGGATGGCCACTTGTTTCAAGAATAACTGGATGGTTTGTTACCAGAATCATCTTCTTGTGATCCCATGCTCTGCACAGAAAGAGAATGAGACTTTATATTTGTTTGCCCTTGTCTGACTAGCACACCTGGGCCTCCCTGAGGTCAGGCCCCTGTGCCTCTGTGCATAGAACTATCCTGCTGCACTGCGTAGAGGAAGCAATTCCAGGTTCCCCCAATGTGTTCTCTAAGCAACTTCTAGTCTGTAGGCTGAAAATGTCCTTACCAGTCTCTGGGAACTTAGTGATAAAGGTTCTCAAGAACTCCTGGCAATTGAATGTTCACCCTGAAATTGAGTGAACGTTCCTCCTCCTCTTCCACCCAGCCCACTTCTCGTTAACAAGGAGAACCTGAATCAATAACCTTTTGCACAAACTGGGGGTTCACAGTGATCTCCTGGTCCATGGCCTTCAGCCGCTCGTCCAGCTCTATGCACTTCAGCATCTGTGTGACAGACACATTTAGGGTAAGGGTAAGCAGGTTTAGGTTCACGGTCCCTTGACCTGAACCCCTGGGGCTACACTGGTTTTGGAGTCAGAATTTTTGAATTCAGAAATTTAATACAGTACAAGTACAGTGCCTTACCTAGGCACTGTAGGATCCTAGATCCTAGTAGGATCTAGGGTAGCACCCCATAATCAAACACATTATCATGTGCAGTGAAAGCTAAAAAGATTCATACTAAGTACAACAAATAAAGATTATGTATCATTTCAGGTGACATTTACCATCAAATGAGTTACCAAAAAAACACTTAGTTTTTAGAATTTTTTTTTTGAATTGCAAAAGGGATTGTGGAAGCATACTATGCATCTCCTCTGTCTTCTGTTCATTTCCCTAAGCAGGGTTAAAAAACAGAGACCACCCACGCAACACCAGCTCATGTCCAGAGCCCACAGTGGCCCCCAAAGCAGCAAGGCCTCAGAAGCCACAGGGCAGCCGCTCTAAGGCCCATGGCTGCCGCCTTAGGACGGTTTTCCTCTCTCACCCTACTCCTGACACCATTGTTTTCTGACCTCCCAGCCTGGAACTCTGAGCACATTTCACCATAAAGACGGACTCTACATTAGAGGTGGCAGCCAGGTATGGATGAAATTATACTAATTATAAGATGTTCCTAGAAGCTAGTTGAGAACTACCTGTATTTAAAACTAAAATTATCTGGGAGCAAAGGGACAGTACATCAAATAAACACCTCAAACATCAATCAAAACAAACGAACACCTGGCACTCACCTCCTGGTCGATGTTGTGGAGCATGGCTGGGTTATTGTACTTCTCAGGGTTATCATGGAAGCTGACCATGCCATCCTTCTGGTTAATGCTGGCGAAAATCTCACCATCTTCTATCTACAGCAACAACAACAACAACTACATCAGGAAAACAGATTAGGCCTGAACATCTGTGAATTCACAGTGCTTCAATACAAAGAGGGGAAAGCACAAAAAGCAGTAAGTAAATACATAAATCTGTACGTGTATTTTTAAGCACCGTTTATTCATTAGGTGTTTACTGAATACCTAGTACCGTCCAGGAACCATTAGTGATGCTAGGAATGCAAAACTGACACTTATAAAAACCCACACCTTTAATGTTTAAATTGTATTTTATTTTACATGTGAGGTAAAAGTCACATAATGTCAATTAACCATTTTAAAAAAATTTTTTTTATTGATTATGCCACTACAGTTGTCCTATTTTCCCCACTTCATTCCCCTCCACCCTGCACACCCCCCCACCATTCCCCTTTAGTTTATGTCGACATGTCTCAAGTACTTTACATTCTATATTTCCCATACTAGTCTTGCCCTCCCCCCTATTTTCTACCTACCATCTATGCTACTTATTCTCTGTACCTTCTCCCCCCTTCTCCTCCACTCCCCTGTTGCTAACACTCCATGTGATCTTCATTTCCATGGTTCTGCTCCTGATCTAGCTGTCCTCTTAGTTTGCTTTTGTTTTAGGTGTGGTTGTTAATAACTGTGAGTTTGCTGTCCTTTCACTGTTCATCTTTTTGATCTTCTTTTTCTTAGGTAAGTCCCTTTAACATTTCATATGATAAGAGCTTGGTGATGATGAACTCCTTAAATTTGACCTTATCTGAGAAGCACCTTATCTGCCCTTCCATTCTAGATGAAAGCTTTGCTGGAGAGAGCAATCTTGGATGTAGGTCTTTGGATTTCATGACTTGGAATACCTCTTTCCAGCCCCTTCTTGCCTGTAAGGTCTCTTTTGAGAAATCAGCTGACAGTCTGATGGGAACTCCTTTGTAGGTGACTGTCCCCTTATCTCTTGCTGCTTCTAGGATTCTCTCCTTCATTTGAATCTTGCTAATATAATGATGATGTGCCTTGGTGTGTTCCTTCTTGGGTCCAACTTCCTTGGGACTCTCTGAGCTTCTTGGATTTCCTGGAAGTCTATTTCCTTTGCCAGAATGGGGAAATTCTCCTTTATTATTTGTTCAAATAAGTGTTCCACTGGTGGCTGTTCCTCTTCCCCTTCTGGTACCCCTACAATTTGGATGTTGGAATGTTTAAAGATGTCCTGGAGATTCCTAAGCCTCTCCTCATTTTTTTTTGAATTCTTGTTTCTTCATCCTTTTCTGTTTGGCCATTTTTTTCTTCCTTCTGGTCCACTCCCTTGATTTGAGTCCCAGTTTCCTTTCCATCACTATTGCTTTCCAGTGCATTTCCCTTCATTTCAATTAGTTTAGCCTTCATTTGTTCCTCTAATTTGTGACTAAAATCAACCAGTTCTGTGAGCATCCTGATCACCAGTGTTTTGAACTGTGCATCTGATAGGTTGGCTATTTCTTGGCTGCTTAGAGTTATTGGCTCTGGGGCTTTGAGTTCTTCTTGAGCCATAATATTTTGATCTGTGTGCGCCTGTTACACATGAGGGGCAGAGCCCTAGGTGTTCACCAGGGCAGGGCAACTCAGTCACTGGGTTGTGATGCTGTATGTGGGGCAGGGTCAAAGAGGGGCAATTGTGGTCCCCTCTGCTGGAGCCTACGTGGTCTGTCTCACTGCTCGCTCCTTTGCCTGGTTTATCTGCAAGCGAATGTGTGACCCCGGTCAGGCAGCCACCTTGCGCCCTCTTGGGTCTGCCTCTCTCAACCCCACACCTGGGATCTGCCAACCGCTGCCCGTGCGCCTGGGTTGGTCTGGCCTAGTTTTCCTGCTCGACCCTGCTCTGCCAGCTGCTGGCTCCGCCCCTCTTATCGGGCTGGCTGAACAGTTCGTTGTTGGACTTCGGTATAGTTCAATTTTCTGTGTTTTGGTTGCCTTTTTTTTTTAACTAAAACTTTGTTGTTTTTAAACTTGGTTGTGCGAGGAGGTACAGTGTTTCCACCTACGCCTCCATCTTGGCCAGAAGTAAAGGAACTATACTTTTTAAATTTTATTGCCGTTCAATTACGGCTGTCCCCTAAATTAACCATTTTAAAGTGAACAAGTCAGCGACATTCAGCACATTTGCAGAGTGCAAGCACCTCTGCTCTTCAGTTCCAAATCACTGTCGTCACCCCAAAGGGAACCCACATGGGAATGTGTGTGGGGGGGGGTGTTTAGTCACTCCCTATTCACCCATCCAGCCTCTCAGTCCCTGGAAACCACAATCTACTTTCTCCACTCTGGATTTGCCTCTTCTGGGCATTCCTATAAATGTAATCATATGTGTTTTTTGTGTCTTGTATCCCTTAGCATAATGCTTTCAAATTGCGCTTATTATCTTTAAACATTAATTTCATTATATATAACTTACATGGCCCTTGCATTTAAAAAACTGAAATGCTAACATACTTTTGTTTCGCCTCTGTAGAAACTAGTTTCTGGTCCTTCAAGAAAACTTTTCTGCCAATGCTGATTCCAAGATAGTTTCATGATCTATGCTCTTTCTTTGCATCAGTGACTGCAGGCTTATTTGATTGGTCCAAATTCTGTCCACAAAGTTAAAAAGTGACAAGCCAAGAAAAGTAGCAGACATGTATTGTTATTCCTAAAAAACTGCCCTACAGGGTGAGAACACCTAGTCCATTTGTTACCGAGATCCCTGCACTGGCCTCCCCTCTCCAATCTTGGAAGGGAGAGATGCAGTTTAATGGTAGAGCGGCCAGCCCAACCATGTCAGACAGAGAGCTGCCTCTTCAAAAAGGGAAAAGAATAGATCCAGATGAAATGCAAGCCAAGGTTCACTACAGCAGAGGCTTTTGTGATAACTAGAACTAGAAACAACCCCATGTTCATCAGATTAGAATGGAACCCTGAAAGTGCATGAACTAAAACTACATTATAACACTGTGTATGAATCTCATACTGTTGAAAAAGCAAGATCCCAGAAAGTGTATACTGTATGTTTCATTTTATAGTTTAAATAAAGCTCAAAAACAAACACAACTAAGGTAGGCTGCTAGGAGTCAAGATGATAACAGCCTTCCTAGCCAGGCGCAGGTGGGACGCTGGTACGAGGTGTCCTGGGGTCTGGTGCTGGTGACACTCCAACCAGCGAGTTATCGGTGGCACAGGTGCCTTCACTTTAGGAAAATGTAATTAACTTGTAGTTTGAAGTACTTTTCTTTATGTGGGTTATACTTCAATAAAGTGTTTACTTAAAAAATACCTAACATACAATCTGAATAGGCTTGCACCTATTATGGAAATTGAATCAATTATTAATAGCCTTCCAAAACAAAGCACTGGTCCCAGGAAGGCCCACCAGTGCATTCTACGAGACAGGCAAGGAAGCAGTAAGGCCAGTCTCTCTCAGAGAGCAGACGCAGAGGGAGCATGGCTCCTCTCAGGCCATGAAGCCAGCATCACCCTAATACCAACTCCAGAGACATTACAAGAAAACTGTACAATTTTTCTCATGAACATACATACAAAACCACTAAATGAAATACAAACGAATCCAACAATATGTAAAAAGAATTATACACCAAAACCAGGTGAACAAAGCCAGTAAAACATGAGGTAATCAATTAACGCAGCTCATCATGTTAGCAGGCTAAAAAGATCATGATCAAACCAACACATGCACAGAAAGCATTTCATAAAATCCAATATTCAGTCATGATACAAACTCCCACTAAACCTGGGAGACAGGTAAACTTCCTCAACTTGATGAAGAATATTTTAAAAAACCCAAGAGCTAATGTCATAGGGTAAGAAAATTGAAGCTTCCCCACAAAGATCAGTAACTAGGCATCACACCACTCCTTTTCAACACTGTATTGGAGCTGATACAGTAAGAGATGAAATGAAAATAAAAAGTATATTGATTGTAAAAGAAGAAACACAACTGCCTGTGTTCACAGTTGTATTTCTACTCAGAAAATGTGAAGTGTCCCCACTACTAAACACTTCTGGAACGAGTAAGCAATCACAATAAGGCTGCAGGATACAAGCTTAATCTACAAAAGCTACCTGCTTTCTTATATACCAGTGATGAACAAGTATAATTTGAAATTTAAAACAATACCTTTTACATTAGTATCCCTCTCCAACCACAATAATTAGGAATACACCCAACGAATATCTATAACATCTATCTGAGGAAAACTAGAAAAGTCTGATGAAGAAAATCAAAGAACTGAGGACTTCCGCCAAGATGGAGGCATAGGTGGAAGCACTATGCCTTCTCACACAACCAAGTTTAAAAACAACAAAGTTTTAGCAACAAAAATGCAGCCAAACCACAAAAAATTGAACTATACGGAAGTCTGACAACAACAAACCCTTCAGCCAAACCAGTAAGAGGGGCAGACCCAGCAGCAGAGCAGGGTCGGGCAGGAAAGATCCAACTGACTGATCCGGGTGGGGGACTCAGGCCCCAGTGGCAGGAAGCAGCAGAGGGAACTGCCATTGTCTCTCTCTGACCCCGCCCCACAAACCAGCGACCTGGGTGCCCCACCACCGTGAACACCTAAGGCTCCGCTCCTCATACATAACAGGCACAAACAGATCAAAACACGGAGCCCCAGAGCTGATAAATCTAAAGCAATGAAGAAATAGCCAAACTTTCAGATTCACAGTTCAAAACACTGGTGATCAGGATGCTCACAGAACTGGTTCATTTTAGTCACAAATTAGAGGAACATATGAAAGCTAAACTAATTGAAAGGATGGGAAATGCACAGGAAACCAATAGTGATGGAAAGGAAACTGGGACTCAAATCAAAGGAGTGGACCAGAAGGAGGAAAAAAATGGCCAAACAGAAAAGGATGGAGAAACAAGAATTCAAAAAAATGAGAAGAGACTTAGGAATCTCCAGGACATCTTTAAACGTCCCAACATCCGAATTATAGGGGCACCAGAGGGGGAAGAGCAATAGCCGCAAGTGGAAAACTTATTGGAACAAATAATGAGGAGAATTTCCCCAATCTGGCAAAGGAAATAGACTTCCAGGAAATCCAGGAAGCTCAGAGAGTTCCAAAAAAGTTGGACCCAAGAAGGAATATACCAAGGCACCTCATAATTACATTAGCCAAGATTAAAATGAAGGAGAGAATCCTAGAAGCAGCAAGAGATAAGGGGACAGTCACCTACAAAGGAGTTCCCATCAGACTGTCAGCAGATTTCTCAAAAGAGACCTTACAAGCAAGAAGGGGCTGGAAAGAAGTATTCCAGGTCATGAAATCCAAAGATCTATAGCCAAGATTACACTACCCAGCAAAGTTCTCATTTAGAATGGAAGGACAGATAAAGTGCTTCTCAAATAAGGTCAAGTTCAAGGAGTTCATCACCACCAAGCCCTTATCATATGAAATGTTAAAGGGACTTACCTAAGAAAAAGAAGATAAAAAAGATGAACAGTGAAAGGACAGCAAACTCATAGTTATTAACAACCACACCTGAAACAAAAGCAAACTAAGAGGACAGCTAGATCAGGAACGGAACCATAGAAATGAAGATCACATGGAGGGTTAGCAACAGGGGAGTGGGAGAAGGAGAAGGGGGGAGAAGGTACAGAAAATGAGTAGCATAGACAGCAGGTAGAAAATAGGGGGGAGGGCAAGAATAGTATGGGAAATATAGAATCTAAAGAACTGGAGACACGTGGTCATAAACTAAAGCGGGGGGGGGGGAATGAAGGTGGGAAATAGAACTGTAATGACATAATCAATAAAATATATTAAAAAAAAGAAAATCAAAGAACTAATTATTGGGTTGGAAAAAGTTCGTTTAGTTTTTTCCATATGATAGCTCTAGTAGTTTTTAGTTGTCTTCAACTTCATTTGAAACAATTTTGTTAGACTTTACTGTGACAGCTGTTCGTATCAGCACACATTCTGAAAAAACTTATCAAAACTGGTGATTTTTTGTGCAGCCATTTTAATATTGAAGGTGGAAGAAGATATGCAACACTTTCGAGGTATTATGCTTTATTATTTCAGGAAAGATAACTGAAATGCAAGAGAAGATTTGTGCAGTGTGGAGAAGGTGCTATAACTGATACAATATGTCAAAAGTGCTTTGCAAAATTTCTTGGTACTGTGACATTTTGGCTAAATAATCCTTTGCTGTGGGGGCATCTTGTGCATTGAAAAAGGTTTGGCAGCACCCTGGCTTTTACCCCCTGGAAGCCAGTAGTGGGAGATAGCCAACATATTCAATCCAAATCAATCAAGTTATTGGTGAAAATGAAAAATGTGTCTTTTATTTAACAGAAAAAATGAAATGAACTTTTTGGCCACCCCAATAAATTGAGAGCTATTTCATGTTCATGAATAGGAAGACAATGTTATCAAGATGTCGTCAATTCTTCCCAATTTGATGTATAGATTCAACACAATCTGTCAAAATCCCAGCAAGTTATTCTATACTGACAAATTGATTCTAAGGTTTATGTGGAGAGACAAATGGACACAGAAAAGCCAACATAAGATCAAGGAGAAGGACAAAGCTGGGAGACTGATGCTGCCTGACTTTAACACTTAAAAAGACAAAATAGATCAATGGAACAGGACTGAGACTCTAGAAATAGACCCACAGAAATATAGTCAATGGATCTTTGACAGAGAAGCACGGGCAATATAATGAAACAAAGACAGTCTTTACAACAAATGGGGCTGAAACAACTATGCATACAGAAAATGAATCTAGATACAGACCTTACACTTTCCACGAGAATTACCTCACATGGATCACAGACCTACATGTACAACACAAAACTAGAGAATTCCTAGAATAGAACACAGGAGAAAACCTAGCTTTGTAGACCTAACCATACGACGCAGCCACCACAGTTTCTGGTACTTACTCAAGTGAGCTTGAGCACTTACGTCCACACAGCAACCAGCACATGGATATTTATAGCAGTTTTATTCACAACTGCCAAATTTTGAAAGCAACGAAGATGTCCTTCAACAGGTGAGTGCATAAACTGTGATATATTTAGGCAATGGATATAAAAAGAAAGGAGCTATCACGCCATAAAAAGAAACTGAGGAAATTTCAATGCATACCCTGAAGTAAAAATAGCCAATCTGAAAAGGCTACATACTATATGATTCCAACTATATGACATTAAGGAAGAAGCAAAACTATGGAGACAGTAAAAAGATGGGTGGTTGCTGGGGTGGGATGAACAGGCAAAGCACAGAGGATTTTTAGGTTGGTAAAAATATTCTGTATGAGACCATAACAATGTAGACATGCCATTACACAGGTGTGGGCAAAAGGTTTAGAGTCATCTGTATGGAAAATGACATGCAGGCTAAATAAACAATACAAAAATAAACTGTGTTTCACATGCTCACAACTGTGAACCTACCTACTTTTGCCCACACCTGCACATTTATCCAAACCCACAGAATGTATAAGAGTATACCCTAATGTAAACTATGTATTTTAAGTGATGACAATATGTCAACGTGGGTTAATCAGCTGTCACTTACGTACCACTTCAGTGAGGGATGATGATAATGGGGAAGGCTATGTATACGTGGGGATGGGGGTAAATGGAAAATCTCTGTACCTTCCCCTCAATTTTGCTTGAACCTCAAAATGCTCTAAAAAAATAAAGTCTTAATGAAAAAACATCCTGCCCTCATGGATCTTACACTCTAGAGCAAGATTTTTCAAGCTTGGCAGCACTGACATTTTGGGCCAGATACTTCCTTGCTGTGTGGGTGTTCCATACACAGTAAGATGTTTAGAAACAACCTGGCCTCCACCCACTAGCTGAAAGTAGTTTCCCTGCTGCTGTGACAACCAAAAATGTCTCCAGATATGGCCAATATGCCATGGCAGGCAAAACACCTGCCAGGTTCTGCCTGGGTTGGTTATGCAGTGTTCAGAATCCATCCCCCTGCCCTTTGACTGTCCAAAGCATCCTGCAAACTCCTGTGCCCTGGCTGGTGTCAGAACTACTTGTGTCTCTTCTCACTCATCACCGAGGAGTGGGTCCCCGGGAGACCCTATGGCTTACTTACACCCTACAACCCCTGCAGGGTTAGCAAGGTGCCCTGAACAGATACTCTGAGGTTGTTGGATTTAGTTGGACAAGGTGTCTGTTTGGGACATATGTGTGATTCGAGGGTTAGGCTGAAGGGAAACCTCACTACCACAATGGAAAAACAAGTTTCGTGACTTCCAATCCTGACATGGCCGTGCATCTGAAATCACAGGGGAGACCATTAGCAGACCAACGTAGAATGCTGACTTTCCACACATGAGATCTGTCTGCCCTGAGCTGACAATATAGGTTTGTTTTGGTGGATCCACTCAGAGCCACGTATGCACTGAACAGGTAGGTAGATTACAATATACCACCTTGGTGGGTTATGATGCAGTCAGCCAAAGGATGCTTATCTAAATTTGGGGAGTGGGGAGGTATGACTAGAAACAATAAATGGGTGTGTCATGTATGATGGTCGCATCTGGCTTCTGAGGCTGTGTGCTGAGCACCTGGGCTCCTGCTCTGGCAACCTTCCCCCAACACTGCTGGATGTGTGGGAAAGCCCAGGTCTGGCTGCCGCCTCGCTGAGCAGGCCTGTGCCAGGGATGGAAGCAGTGCCTGACCCGCACATGAGTACAAGCTCAGGACCTTTTCATGGACCAGGCATGGTCCATGGTTCATGGAGTAGCACTGTTTTATGGCTCTTTGTATATCAAACATTTCAGGAGGGTTTTAAATGATGTTTACAGAAACTGAAACACCATGTAAATAATAGGATCACTATGACTGGAGAACCCCATAGATCACAAGGAAAAAATACAAAGTATCCATAGGAGTTAACTTTGGATGTTCCCCACCCTCTTTTCTTTTTTTGTATTTTCCATAATGAACCCGTTATTTTTAAGAAGAAAAAAATCCACTAATAAGTTTTATAAAAATGAAAACATACTTACCATGTGTAGCACATATTTTTCTGCCTCCTGTGGTCCAGATAATTGTACCCGACTTGCCATATCTTGTAACGATAGAGTTAAAAAGGTCTGGAATTTCAGAGTAGAATTAATCACAGGTAGAAACAACTGACAAAAGAAATTTTATTAAATGTGTACAGAGTTCTAGTAAATCATTGAAAATTTGCTTTCCATTACTGTACAAAATAATTTTTTGTTGTGAGGATGACTTGAAATTGATGAACCCAGTAGTTTTGGTCATTAGTTTTCTAGAATGGTGACTGCTAGAAATGTGTATCTTACACACGCTCTCCTACCTGCCTGAAACGACGCGTGCCCGATTACTCGCTGCGGCACTGCGTGCAAGAACAGAAGGTGGGAACGACCTGCATGCCCACCAACAGAGGACTGGTTCAGGACAGCGCATCCTCACTACATTAAGTGGCTACTATGGACTTATAAAAAAATTAGAAAGTGAGAACTGTTTATGAACTGAAAAGGAATCCAAGATACGTACATCTTTAAACATACAAGTGCATGCTAACATTGGAGTAGAAGAAAGAGACAACTACATGTGAGGGTGAGAGACAGTGGGCACTGAGAGGCGCGCAGACACTCTGGGAACACAGACAAGGCACTGGTAGCACTGGGTTGCCTCTGGGTGAAGAAAAATAGTGGCTGGGATACATGAACTGGATAAAAATTTTGTATTTTTTAATGTATTGTCAACCTATTAGCAATTAAATAAAAAATATATAAGTTCTTCAAAATGTAAAGCTAAAATGTGTAAACAAATGGAGACTAAGAAGGAAACTAAGGACATGATGAAAATGCCTGTTTCAAGAACATAATAAAAGAGATTTTTTTAAAGAAAAGCCAGCAATATTTAAAATAATGGCACTCTCAAAGCAAGACACATTAAAACTCCTATCTTGAAAAGTCCTGATAAACCAATGACCAAAAATAATCTACGTGTACTTTACTTTGAAGAATAGCACCCAAGAAAATAAAATGATTGTTAATTTTTAAAAGGTACATAAGTAGTTGAACACAAAGGATAATTCAAAAGTGAACATTCTAAATACATAGAACAAATATTGTTCTTGTTTCAAAGTAAATAGAAATTGCTACCAGATGTCTATCAGTAGAGAACTGGCTGCATAAATTAGGATCCACCCACACAGCAGACTATTATGTAGTGATATAGGTAACTGTGATACAGGCTTAAGCTGCCAAGAAAGAGGTGAAGACACATTGAACAAAAAAAAGCAGAAGACAGAATAGCATGAAGAACACGATCTCAATTACATTTAATTAGGAGTTTCTACATAAGCACATAGATAGGAGACGGAGAAGAGGAATCTTGAAAACTACCCACCGAAGCATTGACATGGAGCAGACTTAACCTGCATGGGATATCCACTAGTACCTAGCTGCCTTCTAGACCACAACGCTATGGGGTTAGGCTCTTGTCACCAGCACAGACACACAGTCTACCTGATGAGACTTCTGAAAAAGCTTTTATTTCCCAGGTTTGAATAAAAAGAGACATACACGGCTAGAAAATCCTTTGCCCCCCCCCCCCATTCTTCCGGCATAGGGATATATATAAAGCTCAAAAGTCTAATGGCCATCATCAGAGAGTTCCCAGACATGCCCTTTGATGACACTATCCCTGCCACCAGCAGCCACAAGGCCCTCCTCCCTGTCCCCAGGCAGTGCTCATCGCTCAGGGGACCCCAATCCACCAGGAGTCAGTACATGTAAGACTGGCTTTTCCTGTCTGCCTGGTCAAACTCATCCAGACCAGAAAACACTACTTTCCTACACAGACTTCTCCAAGCATAAACATATTCCTAAGGGATGAACTGAGGTGGTCGCCTGCTTCACAAAACAGGTGACAGTGATACCACCTGTTTTTGCAGTGATGCCTACTTATTAGATTTCTTAAGGTCTAATTCTTTTTAATTTTTACTTGCCTTTTTGCAATTTAACACTGTGAGGTACACCATATTTTAACCTTGGTAATATTTTGATTCTTTTACTTGCACCTCAAGTACTAGACCCAAATGGAGTACAGCTCTTTCTCAATGGCTACCTCTTGATGGTGAACCAGGAATTTCCCTAGAGTGGTGACGCTGGCATGGGGACTGAACAGAAAATTTTGTGAGAAGAATTAGGCTGCCTATTACCTTGAGTCCCTTGGACCCCAGATTTTTGGGGTCTATGGGTCAGTTGGTTTTTCTCTGGTTGACAGGTTACAGTTGTTTCTAATCTCTTTTGAGTTGCTTTCTCTTTCACACTCTTTATTTTCATCTTACAAATTAACTTTTCATAAATTCCCCAACTTCCTTATGTTAGCCAGGAAGCTGTAGTTACTCTCTCTGGAGTCCTCACGAGTTTCCTTTCCTTGTTCTGCAACCACTTGCTCCCCTGCTTTCCTCTCCCCTTGCGTGGTTTCCAGCCTGCATGACAGACTCCCAGTGACCACTATTTTCTCTGGCCCCTCAGACTGTCAAACCCATTATCCCTCCCACACCCTGTACCCAGAGCCCAGCGGCCCTTCCAGTAACACCCACAGCTATTCTTGCTTCTTTGCTGCTTCCCTTCAACCTGCTGCCACCACCAGGCAGAGGGAATGCACGGAGACAGCTTCCCCCGGTTCTCCCCAGTTTCGAATCGCTGCCTGACCAGACCACTTCTCAGGAGAAAAATCAAACCAATCTTGGATTACCCCATTCTCACTCAGTTTCTGATTCCTTGCAGTATATGCCTTCCTAGCTCACATGGGATTTCATATTTCCTTTACACTTTTCTATAGCCAAAAAACATCTGGTTATTTTAGAACTGACTTATCTTCTACAGTTCAAATGCACTTAGCTCATTCACCTCTGGCCTCAACAGTCACGGATGTCAGAGCAGCACTGTGTGCAAACAGAGGTGAGCACAGCCTGAGGCTCACAGGTTGGCCACAGGGACCACACCTGCCCTGTGAAGTTCACTGCCCACCTGCCCACAGAACTGTTAGCCTCCCTCAGGCTACCTTTCTTCTACCTGTCTTCCTCTTCACCTGTTCCTCCTCTCAAAAACCCTGCTCTAGCCCTAAAAAGACCAAAAGGTATAAACCAAACTTTAAGACACTGGTTGCGAGAGCTCCAGCCTAGAAACCCTGCTGCACTTCATCGCTGTGCCTGCCTCTTCACCACTGGGAAGGAAAAGAAAAGCGGGGAGTCCCGGAAGTCAGGAGACGGCACCTGAGGGCAGCACTTCCTCACCTTGGTTAGCCTTTGAATATTCTTCTTGTAGAGCGAGGACAGGCACTGCTTCACCAGTCCCATGTTGTTATCACGAGTAAAAGTTTCGCTGTGCTTATTTACCAGGTTGCGAAGTTCTGAGGGATTATTGGTTGAATAAACTTGTGCTAACTCATGGTAGGCATTGCTAAGTGGCTAAAAGTTTGAATGGGGTGGGGGAAAGAAATCAAATTAAAACGTTAAGAGGAGTAAAATTTGTATAGGAAGCAAAAGAAAACATGGTACTGTATTTTCAGCAAGTACATTCAATATCTTTGTAACCTAACAAATTATAACTTACCCAACGAATGCCAAGCACTTTTTTAATGATTTTTTTTCTTAGAGAGAGAGGAGAAGCATCCATCCGTTCTTCCATTTATTTATGTATTCATTTGTTTATTCTTGTATGTGCCCTGACCAGGGATTGAACTTTCTCACAACCTTGGCCTATTGGGACAATACTTCAACCAACTGAGCCACCTAGCTAGGGTTCCAGATGCCTACTTTTTAAGACCAAGGAAAGAAATTCACTATGGTGTAATTTACTGTTGAAAAAAACTTTGTGGTACAGAACAAATAACAGCAGGTGAAAGTGCACTGCATTTGGTAAAGGCATGCACAGATTTTCTTTTTCCTATCAGTGGCTTGTTTTGGTTTGTTTTTTCTTCCCTATTGGAAAGAAGGCAGAATTTCCACCCTTCTCAACTCTTTCTTGCATTCCTACACATACACACCTCCCTACGTGCAATGGGACAATCTGCTCCTTTTGCTAAGAAGGAAGGAAGTAGCAACAAGAGGACTAATGGTGGCTGCAGGCCTAATAAGAGCCTGAGTTGCTCCAGGTATTTTCTTTTATACACATTATCCTTTATTTTAAATATTAACATGGCTGGTATAGCTCAGTGGATTGAGCGCTGGCCTACAAACCAAAGGGTTGCTGGTTCATTCAATTCCCCAGTCAGGGCACATGCCTGGGTTGTGGGCCAGGTCCCCAGTTGGGAGCACTTGAGATAACCACACATTGATGTTTTTGTCCCTACCTTTCTCCCTCCTTTTTCCTCTCTAAAAACAAATCTTTTAAAAACATTAAGAAATTGGGACAGTGGTCCAAAAGAATGGGGAGTTGTCATGAGCACAGGCATAAATTGGATTCAAACCTGTATTTCTATTCTGGAAGTCTATGCCCTTTTGACAGTTTATGATATCATCATAAATAAACTACTCATACTTATGAATTATGCTATTTTATAAAAGCATTCCTTCTAAAACAGGGGACCCTAAAGGAACCATGGGTGTTCTCCAAAGTGATCTGAGAATGGCTGCCCTGAACCTGGCCTATCTCTCAGTGCTCCACAGGATCTCTGTTAACGGCCTTCTGCCTAGCCCCTGGTTTGTCACCAGGCAGCCTAGAGACCGGAGAACCACAACAGGGCTCTTAGGTGAAGGACATTTGGCTTTCTCCAACAACACAACATAAAAATCTCATCAGGCCCAACCAGTGTAGCTCAGTTGGTTGGAGCATCATGCCATTCACTGGAAGGTCGTAGGCTGGATTCCTGGTCAGGAAACGAACTTAGGTTACAGGCTGGATCCCCAGTTAGCATGCAAGAGGCAACCGATCGCTGTTTCTCTTCCCTATTGTATTCCCTACATCAGTCTTTCTCTCCCTATCTCTCTGGAATCAATAAATACATAAAAATAATTTTAAAAAATATTCTCCTCAGGAAGATTTTCAAATTGATACTCTAAAAATCTCAGTTTTGTACAGTGATAAGCAGGGTAAAATTGTTATTGAAATGACTGGAACCTCATAATCTTTTGAATTGTAAGTTTTTAAAACCACGAACATGTCTCATGTATATTTCAAAATATTTTGTAAAAGAGTTAATTTATTTTTTTAATGTGGTCCCAAAGCTGGGTCCTCGGCAAACACAAAAGTCCAGTGAGCAGAAACTGTAAGTTCATATGGAGCTCTTGTAAGATTTTCCAACACTTGGGAAATAGAGAGTTCAACAACATCAGCAATGCTTTTTCAGTATATTCGCTAAATTATAGTAAGTTTTTAAAAAACCAAGCCTTATCGGAGATTAAATACCTAAGCTATAATTATCCAGAGAAAAACTCTGAAAACATTTCTGAGAAACACTCTGTCCCTATTGGGTGATCAGAAGATGTATGAACTGGAGTGAAGCAGAGATTCTGCCAGAACTGCTGCTCCCAGCAAACATTTAACAAATGCCAGGTAATCTGAAGCTGTTGGGAGAGCTAACAAGACAACATAAATTTATAGAACTATGTACCATTCCATTTTCCTTGTGGACTTAAGAAATCAGTTTTATTTTACAAACTCACCTTAATGAATCTACCCACAATTTGAGATGTGTATTTTGGTAGCTGTTGTACTTTTCCAAGTAATATCAAAGAAACTAGAATATACTTTTTATATGATTCCAACATGATATGACTGACGGCCATAGCAGGAGTAGTTATAGCCTGAACAAGAGAAGAAGGTTTCATATGAAGTTAGCACACCACAGCAAGAAGGAACCACCACACGCATGTACTGTTTTAATTAAAAAACAGTACTTACATTAAGTGTCCTGTCTTTTAATATCTTTACTGAGATACAATTCACATACCATAAAATTCTCCCTTTTAAAGTATACAATTCAGTGGTGTTGGTATATTCAGAGCTGTGCAACTATTACCACTATCTAATTTCAGAACCTTTCCATTCCCCTGACAGAAGAAACCCACACCCATCAGCATCACTCCCTATTCCCTCCTGCCCTCTGCCCCAAGGCAACTGTTACTGTACTTTGTCTCTATGGATCTGCTTATTCTGGACATTTCATGTAAATGGCATCATAAGTATGTGGCCATTTGTGGCCGACCTCTTTCACTTAACATATTTTATAGGTTCACCTGTGTTATGGCATCAGTACCTTATTCTATCTCATGGCTGGATAATATTTCATTGTATGGATGTGTCGTATTTTACTCATTCCTCAGTTGATGGGCATTTGGGTTATCTCAGTCTTTGGCCACTATGTGTGGACATTCGTCTTTATTTCTCTTGGGTATATATTCCTAGGAATGGAACTGCTAGGTTACATGGTAGCTCTATGTTTAACAGTTTGAGGAACTCCCAATTCTTTTGCAAAGTGACCACACCATTTTATAATCCCATTGGCAATTATGAGGGTTCCAAATTCTCTACATCCCCACTAATACTTGCTAGTATCAGCAATCTCTTTTTAATCTTAGCCCTCCTAGTGAGTGTGGACTGGTGTGTCATAGTGGTTTGGATTTGCATTTCCTTGATGACTAATGATGATGACTATCTTTTCATGTGCTTATTGGCCATTTGTATATTTTCTCTGGAGACATATCTATTCAAATCCATTGCTCATTTTTAAATTTTAGTTTTTTTTATTGTTGAGTTTTAAGAGGTCTTTGTATATCCTGGATACAGGTCTCTTATCAAAAATATAACCTGCAAATGTTTTTTTCCCATTCTGTGGCTGCCTTTTCACTTTCCTGCACTTGGATTTATGAAGGTTAAGAATAACTGAAAACTATCATACCCAATCAGCCCAATATTTCATATCACCTATGTGCCAAGCACCTACAACTCATCTTTGAGATGACTCTACAGACATGGTCCCACCAGCACAGAAGGGTCCCCACTGCAACACTGCTTTCACAGTGACATAACAGAGTCAACTGACAGTTCTGTCCATCAAGAACTAGTAAACTAACTAGGCTGTGTGATATAGGAAGATTAAGATGCTTTCACCTTTGGCTTTATACAATGCTGTACTGAATTTTTTTCACTAAGTACGTCCTTCTTTTGGAATTTTTTTGAAGCAATAAAAAAATCTGTTTTACCTTTGAAATTAAGGTGAAACATCAATATACTATCTACAACTGCATGCATATCATTAAAAGACAGTGGCATGAAGGAGACTAACGCCCCGCCCTGGCAAACAGCTAGGGCTCCAACCCTTATAACAAAACAGGTGCACCAAGACAAAGAAATATGGCTCAAACGAAAGAACACATCAAAACTCCACAAAAAGCCCTGGCTGGTGTGGTTCAGTGAATCAAGTGCTGGCCTGCAAACCAAATGGCTGCAGGTTCGATTCCCAGTCAGAGCACATGCCTGGGTTGTAGCGAGGTCCACAGTTGAGGGTGTGTGAGAGGCAGCCAAATGATGTATCTCTTGCACATGGATGTTTATCCCCCTCTCTCTAAAAGCAAATAAGTAAAATTGGGGGGGAGGGGGGAGAACAAAAACAAAAAACCCTCCAGAAAAACAAGTAAGCGATAAAGAGATAGCCAACCTATCAGATGCAGAGTTCTAAGCACTGGTAATCAAGATGCTCACAGAAATAATTAAGTATGGCTGCAAAATGAAGGAAGAAATGAAGGCTATACAAAGTGAAATAAAGAAAAATATACAGGGAACCAACAGTGAAGGGAAGGAAACCAGGTCTCGGATCAACGATTTGGAACAAAAGGAAGAAATAAACACCCAACTGGAACAGAATGAAGAAACAAGAACTCGAAAATATGAGGAGAGGCTCAAGAACTTCTGGGACAACTTCAAACACTCCAACATCTGAATCACAGGGGTTCCAGAAGAAGAGGAAGAGCAAGAAATTGAAAACTTACTTGAACAAATAATGAAAGAAACTTCCCTGATTTGGTAAAGGAAATTAAGACATACAATTCTAGGAAGCTCAGAGAGTCCCAAAGAAGTCGGACCCAAAGAAGCACATGCCAATTACATTCATTACATTACCTCATCATTCATTACAAGCACATCATCATTACATTATCCAAGATTAAAGAGAAGAGACTCTTAAAAGCAGCAGGAGAAAAGGAGACAGCTACCTACAAAGGAGTTCTCGTAAGACTATCAGCTAATTTCTTAAAAGAAACCTTGTAGGCAAGAAGGGGCTGGAAAGAAGTATTCAAAATCATGAATGGCAAGGACTACATCCAAGATTACTCTATCCAGCAAAGTTATAATTTAGAATGAAAGGCAGATAAAGTGCTTCCCAGATAAGGTAAAATTGAAGGAGTTCACCATCACCAAAACCTTATTATATGAAATGTTAAAGGAACTTATCTAAGAAAAAGAAGATAAAAACTCTTAATAGTGAAATGATAACAAACTGACAACTATCAACAACTGAACCTAAAAACAGAAACAAAAACTAAGCAAACAACTAGAACAGGAACAGAATCACAGAAATGGAGATCACATGGAGAGTTATCAATAGGGAGGGGGGAAGGGGAGAATGGGGGAAAAGGTATAGGAAATAAGAATCATAAATAGTAGGTACAAAATAGACAGGAGGAGGTTAAGAATAGTACGGGAAATGGAGAAGCCAAAGAACTTGTATGTAAGACCCATGCACATGAACTAAGGGGGGAATGCTGGAGGGAAGGAAGGTACCAGGAAGAAGGGGACAAAGAAAAGAGAAAAAAGAATGGGACAACTGTAATAGCATAATCAATAAAATATACTTAAAAACTTTTAAAAAAGAAAATATAATAATTAATAAACAAGATCAACTGTGTTTTGTGTATTCACAACAGCAAACCTACTTTTGCCCCACTAATGTTATAGATCTCATTTTCAAACTCTAAGTAAACCTTCAGAATATTGTATCAAATTATGTAATATATCTTATTACATACTAGAGGCCATTACACAGACATAGACAATGATGGGAGGGACTTTTCACTGTGTACTACTTAATATCCTTTGAATTTGATTGAACCATAAGAGTGTTTTACTTACTAAAATAAAATGTAACGGCTGAATCTCTTCCCTAAATGCAAAGAAAGCTATAAAGGTCAAGAGATGTACAGAACTTAACCCAAATCAGAGAGGGTACAAGTGGCAAAGCCCAGGTTAGACCCCAGTCATAGTGCTCATCCCTCCACTGCTCCTGCCCTTCAACTTCGGGAACAGACTACCGCCATTCACATGGCCACAGAGAAATAGTCTTTGAAAGGACCTATACCTGAAACTCAGAGGTCTGGACTCCATCAGCTCCAGTTGTGCACGACTTTGATCACAAAAGTTCAGAGCAACCTGAGGGGCATTTAGAGAGATAAGATTACCTGTTCATAAAAGTAGAGTGCTCTTTCAAAGTTCTTCAGCCCAGTATAGATCATCCCTCCATAATAATAGTAACATAAAAAGTGCTTTGCATCGTAGGCGCCATTCTCTTTACAAATATCCATCATGTCCACATCCAGATATGGAAGGGCAGGCTTAAAGCATTTTGCCAGCAAACAAAGCTATAAAAAAAAAAATCGCATTAAATTGTCATTTTAATTGTACTCTAGCAAGCTTTGGCAGGAGCAAATTCATAGATTCCAGAAAGTTCCAGAAAGTATTTTGTTACATATTTTTACCTTTAATTTATTGATTAAAATGGTCTGCATGTCCAATATACTACTCTGTTCTCTTAAGCAATCAAAATTAATTAGCATTTCTTTGTAAAAGACTGACTAATCACGAGAACAAGTACTCCACAGATGAATTCAAGTTCAGCTAACACTTAATTTACCTAGCACCCATTTTGTTTGCAGATGCACACACAAGTCCTTTTTCTCTTTGCTGACCTAGTGGACTAAAAATAAATCAACATTGTGTGATGAAAAATGGAAGTTTTTTCTTTGATTATACTTTTTCAATTTCTAAATCCTTTAGGTAAGTGTAGGGAATAGTATAACAAAAAAGCGAGCATAGCCCTGGCTGGGTAGCTCAGCTGGTTGGAGCACTGTCCTGATACATCAAGGTTGCAGGTTCAATCCTCAGTCAAAGCATGCACAAGAATCAATCAATTAATGCACAGATAAGTGGAATGACAAATTGATGTTTTTCTCTTAAAAAAAAAAAAGCAAGCATATGGCAACATTTGGTATGCGAATGATGGTAACACAGGTACAAACTCTCTGAGTTGTATACTTACTATTGGAGCAGTTTATATATTTTATACTTCAATCACAAAAGTTTTTTAAAAGGATGAAAAATAAAGGAAAAAGGCATATCTTAATTGAAACTAGAACATGTGTTTGAAATCATCTACATATCTTGTTATTCTTTAAGGATACAATCCTGCCCAATAGGAACTGGTCAAACACATGTTATGGAATACCCAGCAGCTGTAAGGCACTGATATGGAATCATTGTCAAAATACATTAATTAGAAAAAAAGCAAGGTATATAACAGTTCATACAGATTATTACTATTTGTATAAAGAAAGAGAGAAAATATAGACATATTTGCTTATACATTCACAAAATATCTTTGGAAGGAAAAACGAGAAACTGCTGACACAGATTTCCTTTGAGATGTGGCAAGTGAGGCAGGGAGGCAGACTTTGTTAGATATCCACCTTTTGCCTGCCTGATTTTGAATCATGTACAACAAAATAAATTAATAACATTTTAAGGTGTAAAAAGTTACATGTGTCTATTCTCAGATTCCAAGATTCCTCAAAAAGAAAGTAACTTCAGATTTTTTTAATGTCACAAGCATCAATAACTCTGTTCTACTCACAAGTAGAACAGAATCTGTTCATCACAAGATTACTGAGAGTACAGTTTGTATCCAGGAGCTGCTGAAAATTCCTTTATTACAGAACAGATGTACTTGTATATATTCTAACTCCTAGGATCTATCAATCTCCACCAAACTGCCTTCATTTATCTAATCTGATGTCAAGCAAAGCCACATTCAACCTCCCAACTCTGATCTGGTCTACCACTTGTTGGCTGCTCACCTGGCAGAGGTCAGCGTGTATTGAGGTCAGCTGGTTTGTATTCATCTGCATCTTGTCTATGGCTTGCTTAAGGATGCCAATGCCTCGCAGGGGCTGTCAGAAATGACATCTCTTTCAGATAAGTTCTCAAAGATGGCAGCACAATGGATCTTATGTTGTCACTTACAAATAAAAAATAACACTAATTGATAGGTTCCTTTAAATAACAACATGAGGTTTCCATACTCTTTCAGGACTGTCCCAATTTAGTCAGAAAATGTTTTCTTAAGCCGTTTCTTGTGACATTTAGAATAATTCAGCACCACTGTCTAAATCATAAAGCTTTTGGCCCTGGCCAGGTAGCTCAGTTTGTTAGAGCAGCATCCTGATATGCCAAGGTTGTGGGTTCAATCCCAGGTCAGTCAGGACACATACAAGAATCAACCAATGAATGCATCAATAAGTGGAACAACAAATCAATGTCTCTCTCTCAAATCAATTTTTAAAAATTCTCAATTAAAAAAAAAAGGTTCTTTTTACAATGAAGATAATCTTCATTGTAATACTTCATTGTAATACAATGTAAAACATTGTAAAAAAGTAATACTTTCCCAACAGTTTATTATATTTACATCTAAACGAAAAAAAAATCCAAATTATTTACAACAGATGTGATCTGATTCGATGCTCAATAAACTTAATTGTGTTTAAGGGGGCTGGCATTTCCCCTTAGGGCAACATTCCCTTATATCAATTCATCTCCTGATGCTGAACTCTGTACATGTAAAAAAAAAAAAAATGTCCTATTTGTTAGAAAATACTCATTGAAGTATTTAGGATAAGGGGCATCATATCTGCAATCTACTTTCCAATAGCTCAGGAAAAAAAAGAAAGAGAAAAGGATAAGCAAGTGTGGTAAAATGTTAATTATCTGGAGAATCTAGGTGAAGGGTATATAGGAATTGTTTATATTATTCTTACAACTGTTTGTAAAGCTAAATTTACGTCATAATTAAAAGTTTAAAAAGTTTTAAAATACACCCTGGCATATTAGAACGTGCAGGACACTAGAACGGTAGTTCTAGGAACAGTCACAGCACCAGCAGCCTCCCTGAGGCACTCCTCTTCCCTGTCCCATCCTCACCTGCAGCAGGGATTAGCTGTCCTTACAGAGAAGGGGGTGAGTACTCCAAAGTGACCATATACCTAAGTGTTAGGATGCTTGGTACTAATCTGAAACCTTAACAAATTAGTTCACTGTATTTGGTAGATATTACAATAGTACTGTAAATACTTGAATAACATCGCTTACCTGTTTTCTTTCCATAAGGGCATTTGTTAGCTGATGGCAAAGCCCAGCAACTAGATACAATAACAAAATATTAAAAATATAAATGACAAAACAGACAAAATACATTCAATGGAAAATAACAAAATGTGATTTAGCTTACAAGTGTCTGTTGCATATCGAATGTGCTCCCCATTACAAGTACTGATAAAAAGCTGAACCTGTGAGAATAATGTTTCGAAGTCAGGAACACTGGGCATAGAAAACTTCACAAATCTAGAATAAAGAGAAAGAATCAATTTATCTTGATATTTCACAGGGTAAAAACACAGAAGCAACCAAGGCCACGAGTCCATCCAACAATGAGTCCCAGTATTTAAAAAAGTTAAGAAACGGAGTCTCTGAGATTCTCCTGACCTGGTTTTCTGAACAATCACAACAGACACAGAAAAAGAAGTTAAGAAAAAAAATTTTAAAAAGGAACAGCCTTCAAAAAAGAAAGTCCCTTAAATAAGGCCAAGTATCAGGTCATCCTAATACTTGTGAAGGAACTGAATATAAACTTTGAAGCAAAAATTTTTCAAAATATTTTTATTTTCAGCTCCAGTGTGGTCAGGATTGTATCACTCAGTTTAAAAACTAGCGGTTGCTTTTCCTGCTCTTAAGACAATAGGCTGACTGGGACAAGGCACTAGAGCTCCAGACCACATAGCAAGATACTATGGCAGTTACTCAAGTTAAAAATGCTGCTGGCCAGGACTTCGGTGATACTGTGGTCCATCTGGAAGAAAAAACAATCTGATGAACAGGACAAGAAGAATTAAAGGTGCTGAGAGGAGAGAGGCCTCATATGACCCATCCTGAGTCACTTGGCAGACGGTGCCTTTCAACTGTCCACAATGAATGCTCTGAAAGGGGGTTAATGTCTACGGCCATACCACCCTGAACGCGCCCGATCTCGTCTGAAAGGGGGTTAAAGGCTGGTTTGGGGGGGAGAAACCACAAAAGCTACCACCACTCAGGCATTACTTACAAGTAAATTTAAAGCTCTTTTCTTTAAAAAAAAAAATTTGAAACTAATTTCAAAAAAATAAACGAAATGGGTATTTTTGCCTAATCACAATTTCTTCTACATCTTTCAATTTGTACTTCCAGCTACATAGCAATAATCAACTAAGTGTCACCATACACCTATCACTGCACTTTCCAGTTGTCAAATGTGTCTGAAACGATCTCATTTGGGCTTCACAATAAGCCTGTAACGCAATGTGATTCCATGTTATAAATAAAAATATGAAGCAAAGGGCCACATGCCTCATAATGGAAGAACATAATTCAAATCCAGGGTACTCAGAAATAAGTTCAGGGTTTTTTCTAGGTTTCCTTTTACTGATACACATTAGTAAAACACCTTACAGATTCAAAATGCTTTCATGAATGTTACGTATATATCTCACTTGAGATATATATATATATATATATATATATATATATGGACAAAAGTAGGTTAGTAATAGTAATACAATAATCAATAAATAATACAAGGATAAACTCTGTGTTTTCGTTACTCACAACTGCAAAACTGCTTCTCCCCACCCATTTGTACATGTGAATTTATGTGTAGAAAACATACTATCGGTTCTTTAAATCAGCAAACACAGGCTGTAGAAATTGTTACCAGCCTGCGCCACCCACCAGAACTTTCTGCAATGACAGAAATGTTCTACATCTGCCCTAACATAGTAGCTCCTGAGTATCTGAAATGTGGCTAGTACAACTGAGAAAATGAATCTTTAACTCTTTAAAATTAATTTACATTTAAATAGCCTTATATAGCTAGTGGCTACAGTACTGCAGAGCAAAGCTCCAGTGGTGTCCAACATTTTGGCATCTTTGCACCACACTGGATAAAGAAGGGTTGTCTTGGGCCACTGATTAAATACACTGTGACAGGTAATCACAAAAACATCTCATAATGTTTTAAGTAAATTTACATATTGGGCTGCATTCACAGCTGGGGCTGCATGTGGCCCATGGGCCACAGGTTGGACACCTCTGCCACCCTTTCATTCTGACAGTTTCTTCTCTAAACTGTATTCTTGACCTCTATCTTTGTCTCTGGAGTCCCAGTGCAAGTAAAGTCTGATCCTCACTCTACAACTTCCCAGTTTATTTATATTACTACAACTCTCATAAAACCGTAACATCGCAATTTTAATATTAAAGTATCAAGAGAAATATAATTCTACTGTCAGGTACACAGAGTTACAAGGAACCCCAACTGAAATAAGGTCTATTTAATTTGGTCTCGAACAGTATAAACTTGTTAGAAGAGAATTCAAAGCAATGCTATTGATCACTGGTAATCTTGCTCAATATATTCCACCATGCCCTGTTTTGTCACTCTTCCCTATTTTTAATTTATTTTTAGAGAGAGGGGAAGGGAAGGAGCTCTCGTATACACTGTGACCAGGGATTGAACCTGCAACCAAGGCGTGTGCCCTGACCAGGAATCAAACCAGTGACCCTTCGCTTTGTGGGACAATGCACAACCAACTAAGCCACACTGGTGAGGGCTTCCCTATTTTATATCCAAGTTAGAAAATGTAGACAATCTAATGGACTATATAAATAAAAGTATTCACAAAAATACAAACTACAGTGCCCATAACTGAGATGGCCACTTGTTTTTTAAAATAAACTTGTATAAATATAAACAAGTTTAAAATGATAAAACAAGAAAACCCAGTAAGCAATGATTAGCTGGAATGACTAAAATGTAATACTACAAGATGACTTTAGTTGTGCAAAAGAGTTCAATGTTGTTTACATGGTTTACTTCCTGCACCAAAAAATAAACTCAGAAAGTGTTCAGTTTCACACAGAACAAAACTATAAAAGATGTCCCTTACAAAACAGCAAGGACGCCCAAGGAGTGCTCCTGTACATCCAGAGCCCCAAGCACAGTGTCCAGATGGGATAAGTTCTTTGCAAGCAGTTCCCCGCTCTTGTTGATCAGTTCACAAAGCTGAGTCATTTGCCCTGGAAAACAGGAATAACACTATGTCATTCAGTTATAGCACTAACCAAGCTAAAGGAAGTATAACCAGATTTCATACCTCAGAGCAAAAATATAGTGATCCCTCACCTACTGTGGGAGTTATGTTCCAGAGACCACCGCGATACGTGAAAATCCACAAAGTAGCAGCATTATATTTATTTTATTATTTCTATATATTTTAAGGTTTTATAAACCCTTCCCACACTCCTATAAACTTTTCCCTCTCTCATTAACCTTTACCACACTCTTATAAACACTTCATATGTTCTTAAACACTTTCTACACTCTTAAACCTACATAATTTTAACAACATATAAGATTCTATATGGGTACTCACCAGTGAAGTATACAGTTGTCCCTTGCTGTATCGCAGTTCACTTATTGTGGCTTCACTGTATCGCAGGTTCCCGAAATAGTGAAGCCGCAATAAGTGAACCACGATACAGCGAGGGACGACTGTACCTAAAGATGATTTCTTCTATCTCCTTCATTTCAGATGAGGACCAAGAAGGACCAGAAGTGAAATGATCCCACCCTGTCTCAAAACTCAATCTCCCATATCCTTCTGGCCTCTGAAAGTTTCTCCGTTTCCTACATTCCCTTTTCTGGCCCCCCCAAGCCAGAACTATGCACACACTATCACTACCACTCTCAGCTCCCTCTCTGTACCTAGAATGTCACCAAAGATGATTTCATTTTATTCCTAAGTCTCTCAACTCCATTCCATTCTCTCTCCCCTGCCTCATCATTTCTTATCTAAATTACATCACAAATCTTCTCAATGTCCACTCTTTCCTCCAACCCATACTCTACATCAGTACCTGTGTGATTCTTCTAAAATGCAAAATTCAATCAAATAACTCCAATGGCTTTAAGAAGTCCAAATGCGCCCTGGTGGGGTAGCTCAGGTGGTTAGGGAATCATCCCAATACACCAAGGTTGTGGGTCCAATCTCTGGTCAAGGCACATATAAGAAGCAACCAATGAATGCATAAATAAGTGGAACGACAAATCATTGTTTCCCTCTTTCAAATGAAGAAGGAGGAGGAGGAGGGAGAGGAAGGAGAAATAAAAAGAAGTCCAAAAGTCTCAGCCCAGTAACTGGTTCCTGTGCCTTGCCACCCCAGCCTCATCCTGCTACTTGCGTTCATGCACCTCCTCTTTGGTCACATCGAGCTCAAAATTCAATCAGCTCTCCATATCCTCTCATCTTTATGCTTCTATGCATGTGAGCTTTCCCTACATCCTCCACTACCTGACTCGTATGATTTGCTCAACAGTCTGCCTGGGTCTCCCCTAGACCTTCACCTACCTGCTCCTCTCATGGCTATCTTGGCTGGCTAGCTATCTTTTCTGTGTCATTTTTCCACAACCTGGGATGCGGTGATTAGGTAAGTCCACATAAACTCAGGTAAGGGGAGTCTCATTTCTCCAGCTTCATAATACATGGCTTACTCAGCAGCCCATCAATCAACAAGCAGAGTCTCCTAGGATCCATTCTTCTTTCCCTTACACCACAACACCATGACAGCTAAAGTATAGAATCTAATTAGGCCTAAACTGGTACTCTGAAGTAGACTTACCAATTTTAACAGGTTATTCTAATAATAAACACTATGGCCACACTCTGTACTCTCATATCCCAATAGCTGTTTCTGGTGAAAGTGAAAGGTATATATATACAAGCCCTTGGGCATCAATCTCTTAAACCTCCTCCTTCAACAGTCTCTTTTACACTTTGAACTTCAAAGTACTCATACCATCTATTTCTATTTGTAGCTGGGTGCTTTTTCCTTATTAAAAATGACTTAGGTAAGGACATAAGACACAACGGACCATAAGACACAACTAGGTTTTAGAGGACAAAAATAGGAAAAAAAATTTTTGAAGTAAAAAATGCAGTAAAATATTTAATAATCTGTGACCCAGCTCCACCGCTGCACCTCCCGACACAGTGAGCCAGGTAAGCCACATTTGGACTATATGCACGCCATTTCCTCCCAAATGGGGGGAGTGAGTCTTATAGTCCAAAAAATACAGTAATGCTTAAAATCCAAGTGATTGTGGCTAGGAACTTTAATAATTTAACTTCTGAGACTTCTGTAATATTTATAAATAACTTTTACCAAAAATAAAGGAAATGTTTCATTATTATTGCATTCATTGCAAAACAAGAATAAAAACATCCATGATCATATTAGATATTACTTTTCAAGACAATAATACAAGTTGAACTGGGAAACAGCAACTATCATTTTATTAAAGATCTCACTGGTAGGTATGAAATACACAGCATCTTCCAGTTAAATGCCCCCCCTTTAAACCCACTACTCTAAATGCTTACAATGATTTGAAACACCCAGAAACAAGCATTTCAGTCCAATATTTTTCTCCCCAATTAAATAATCAATGCTGAGCTGAGACTTAAAAGCCAGGCCACCATGAAATCCTAAGATTAACTACTGTAGGACCAAGGGGAAGAGTCAAAAGTAACCTTAACTGTGAACCAAAAGATCGCGGTTTGATTCCCAGGGCACATGCCTGGGTTGCAGGCCAGTTCCCAGCAGAGGCCAGTTCCCAGCAGGGCACGCATGAAAAGCAATGTAATACCATACATTGATATTTCTCTCTCTCTTCCCTTCCCTTCTAAAGATAAATAAATAAATTTTTTAAAAAAAATTTTAAGTAAGCTTAAGGGTCGCAGGGCACATCTGCAATGAATCCCACCAGGGATATGGCCAGTGAAATTTCCTCTAATCAGGGAAGGCTGGAAATTATGATATTTTCTTCATGGAAGGTCCATGTTTATAAATTCTGAACAACAACGGAGAAAACACTCACAAACATGTACTAGACTGTGAAGGTGAGGTGCAGAAACGGAGGGCAGTAAAAGTATATTTATCTCCACCTGGCAGACTATTCCTAAAGTAGTGTCTGGCACACAACATGTACACAGAGCTTTCAAGCAAGTGATCCCTCCCGATGCTCAACAGCCCTAGTTACATCTTATGAGACCTAGGAAATTAAGTGGCTTGCCCATGAAGTGACTGAGACAGGATTCCAACTCAAATCTTCTAAGTATACTACATCCCAGAAAATAGAACTGTTTGTGTCACAAATGAATAAATGAACAGGTTCTTCACTCATATGGAGTGAAAGTCTATGCTTTACCCGTGAACTTAATTTCTATCTAAAATAAGGAAAATGAAGCAGCAGTATTTCATTAGGCAGGTCTTCCTAACTACATCCTTAAGCCTCACAACAGCAGTGAGGTGGGGAAAAATGAAGACTGACGGTGACTGTCCAAGGTCACGCAGCTCTTAGAACTTATAATTAATGGCTGTTGACAATTGCTAACTGTACTTATCGCACTGCATATGATAGGCACTGTTCCAGGGCTTTTACATGGTTTCTCTCATTCAATCCTATCAGCTCCACGAAGCATGGACTTGTTTTTGTTTTACAGATGAAGAAACAGGTGAATAAAGGGAACTTCACAGCCAGCAGCTAATGACTTTAATTCTCAGTCCAGAGATCTAGAGTCATGAGATGAATGAACCAAACAGCATAAAAATTAAAGGCAAAGTAAAAATGGTCAAAGCCTCACCCCTAGAAACCAGCGTCCAACGAGCGAAAGCTCCTGTATGTCCTGCAGGACTAAACTAGGCACGGGCGGCAGCCGAGGGGCCGCCAAGCAGAGCCTCTGAGCCAAGGAGCCCAGAAAAGGTTCGCCTGACGCTCGCTGCCCGCGGCCTGGCACGGAGGCGCCGCGGGGATCGGCGGCCAGGACACCAATCACCGCGGGCGAGGAGAGCCCACGCGACCAGGGCCGTTCGCGAAGGCGTACGACGGAAATCACCGACCCCCAAATGTCAAGCGAGGCTTCGGAGGGCGGGTAGGAGGGGCCTGGAGGGCCGCGGGAGAGGAGGCGGCTGCTTTGCGGAGCGCACGGCCTGGCGGGAGTGAGCTACAGAGCCAGAGAGCGCGAGGGGGCTGCTCCGACTCCGCCGCACCCGGCGCGCCGGATCCCGCCGTGGCCTAAGCGCCACAGCGAGACGGGCCCCGGAGACCAGGCTCGACACTGCCAGCGCAGTCCCGCCGCTCCCACCGGCGGCTGGGGAGACAGGCCGGTCCCTTCGGCCCGGAGGGCCGGCGCAAGGCCTCACCTTGAGCGGAGAGCTGCCGGACACTGTTCACGAATTGCTCCAGGGCAGAGGCCATGTTTCCCCCTGGTCGACCTGACTACTAGAGCCAGCTCGCGCGGGAAAAGGTGTCCGCTCTGGGAGGTGGGGCGTGGACGATCCACAGAGGCCTCACGAGCGGCCAACGTCACTTCCGCTGATCAAGCACCGCGAGATTTCACCCACATGGGAACTGGTTACTGTTCCCTTGGAAACAGTTCTGCTGCTCGCCATAACCGGAAGTTAGCTTTCTTTTCGTGCAGTTGGGAAATCCCTCCCTCTATTTAATGGGGCAAAGGAAGAAAGTGAACTCATGATCCGGCAATTTTTCAGATTTTGCTAGATATGGCTGTCCGTTTTTTTTTCCTGGCCAAATCATTCAGGTTACTTAGCTTTAACGGCTACTGGCATGAATCCTGCGAGGTAGTAAAACATAGACTCTGGAGCCACGCAGGCAACCTGCGTTCACATCACTTTCCCACCACTTAGTAGCTTCTAAGTGTTGGGAAATCATTTTGGGCAATTTATTTGGCAATTCTCCATCCGGTTTTCTCCACCTGTAAAATTCTTCCAATAACCTCAACCACCTAAAAACACTTTTAGATCTGTTTTCATTCAAGATGTATGTTGACTGAATTGATTTCCCCGCGTGGGTTTGATCTTCCTCAACCTGACTCGGAAAGCACTTTTTTCTTATATATCTGCTTCTCTGCTGTAGACATTTGTCTTCATAATCCATACCACAATGATTGTTCTTAATTGGCATGGAATTCCCTGACATCAAGCATCTGTCTTACACGCCTCTGCACCATGCTAAGGCCCAGCAGGTATCAACCAAAGGTTGTGGGACCAATTCAGCACCAAAGAAGTCCCCCTTTGGGGGTTCAGTGAAGAAGGAAACTTCATTCAGTGGAAATATCTCAATTGTGATACAGCAAGGCTGTGAAAAGAGCCTGGGGCCAGGTCCTTCTCCTGCTAGACAACTCTGCTCTGGTGAGACATCTTTAGTGTTTCATTTCCCACCAAAGAAATAGCCCTCAGCCTTCAGCGGAAAGAGAAAGAATAATCAACAAACTTCAAGCCCTTACTCTTCACGGAAAAGGAAACTTCTTACTGTTCTCAGAGCTGACTTATATAAACAGAAGTTCCTGCTCCTGGTTCCAGATTGGTTCATCCTCTTGCAAACCAGGCCCTAAATCCTCAGTCTGATTGGTCCAAAAGTCACTGTCCTGATTGGGCAGGATGGAGTTGCTCTGATTGGTTGGTGAAGAAGTTGATGGGGGTGGGGCAGATATAGCTGTGTAGCTTGGTTTGGATAAGGAAAACCTCAGTCCTATTGGTTGAAATAGGATTCTGGGAACTCCTTTGTAAGGGCTGTCTCAGCTGGCAGGAAATAGAGTGTAGGCAAGCAGTTCAGTTTAGCACCAGGCTGACAGCTTACTGCAGGCTTCTCTGTGAAGTGCAGTTTGCAAGAGAAGCCACTGTAGAAATGACTGCTAGGATCTGTTTTTGAATTTTAGCCCATTTATCCACAGGAACCCTTCTTAGTAGGTAATCTTTCTCGGGTCCACACCCATGATTTGGTGCATAAAAAGGACTAACTAAATAAACATGCATTTTAAAATTGCACCCAACATATGTTTATTGAGCATCTACAATGTGCTGTGCTAAGCAGTTATGGTCTTTTTTCCCTGCCGATAACACACAAATAAAGACCCTAGAATAAAGGGGGTAGTGCTCTGAAGGAGTGAAACAAGGTTTTATAAAATCTGCACTTGGTGCACAGCACTTAGCACAGCAAAGGAAATGGACCTTGCCCAGGAACAAGAGGGAAGGCATTCTTGAGGAAATGACACAAACTGAGCTCTAGAGAAAGGGTAGAAGTTAATAAGGTAAGGGAGGAAGAAATTATTGTGAGAAGACAGTATGTGCTAAAACTTTGTGTTGGGAGGAAGCATGCTATAGAGATTGAGGAACCAAAAGGAGGTGTTTAGAAGGGAGTGGTATGAGATGGAGCTGCAAGGTAAACGGTTCACGTCAGGTAAGCTGTGTTAAAGATATGGAACACTTCTCTAAGAAGTTTGGAAAGCCACTGAGAGTTTTATGCAAGCAAGTGGGATAATTGGATTTGCTTTTAGAAAAGGTTCCACACACTCTATGTGTCTGACTTCACAAAGATAACTTCAGAGGACCATTTAGGAATCTCTTGCAGTAGTCAACATGAAATATAATAAGAACCCTGGCTGGTGTGACTCAGTGGGTGGAGCACCAGACTGATAACCAAAGGGTCGCTGGTTTGATTCCCAGTCAGGGCACATGCCTGATTGCGGGCCAGGTCCCCAGTAGGGGGGCACTCGAGAAACCACCACACATTGAAGTTTCCCTTTCTCCTACCCTTCTCCCTTCCCCTCGCTAAAAATTAATAAATTTTTTAAAAAGAAAGAAATATAATAGTTATAATTGTACCTTGAAAGTAGAAATGGAAATAAAAGTTTAGATGAATGACTTGAACACATATTCTAAGATGAAACTGCCCCTGAATGTCCTATGTCAGCATTTGGTTCTCAGTCTTTGATCTCTTGCAACATACCCGACAGAGATCTTCTTGACTCACAGGACACATTTTCATGGATTTGCATGGATTTTAATGAAAACCAAATATGCGGCAGAGAAGTAAAATATTGCAATAATTTAAAATAGCCACAGCTATTACTGATACTTTAAAATTTCTGGCATATTTAGACTGTGGCAGCTGTTCTCAAAGTGTGGTTTCCCCAACAAGGAGCAGTAGCAGCATCTGGGAAGTTCTTAGAAATGCAAATCCATGGACTCCACTATAAACTTAATGCATCAGAAACTCTGAGGGTGGATCTCTACAATCTGAGCTTAACAATCCCTGCAATCTTTCTGATGCACACAAAAGTTTGAGAAACTCTGGATTGCAGCACAGAGGAGCTAGGACACAAATCAAACTCATTTCAAAACAGCTAAACACCCTTCCATCCTTCTCTCTTCCTCTCAAGAATGAAATAACTGAAATATATGATTACAAGGATAACCTTGAATATACTCTAATTTTAATTTTTTAAAAGCTAGTCATTTGTAAAACCTGGCAATTACTTAAGACACACTTTACAGGGGTGTCCAACCTGCAGCCTATGGGCCACATGTGGCCCAGGATGACTATGAATGTAGCCCAACACAAAATCATAAATTTACTTAAAACATTTTGAGATTTTTTTGTGTGTGATTACAGGTTGCAATGTATTTAATGTGTAGTCCAAGATAACTCTTCCAGTGTGGTGGAGAGATGCCAAAACGTTGGACAGCCCTACCTTATAGCAAAGCATAGCAGTGGGTGGAGATGCTACATTTAGTTATCTGTTATTTAATTCTTTAAACACTCATTTACTTTGTGTCTAATATGTTTCAAGCCCTGTGTCAGATGTTGGGGATGTAGGGTATTTGTGAACAAGACTGCAAGTACTTGCTGATATGAAATTCTGGTTTGCTGAGTAAGACAGTAAGCAAACAAATAAACACAATAATTTCAGACAGTAATATTTGTAATGAAAAGAAAAAAAAAAAGAAACCTTGTGATGGGGTTTAGGAAGGTCAGAAAATACTTCTGAGAACTAAAGGATGAGAAAGAGCCACTTAAAAAAAAGATCTGGGGCAATGAAATCCAGAGAGAGAGGAATGAATGCAATATGCAAAGATTTGAAGACCAAGCAAATGGTGTATTTCTGGAAAAGCAAAAAATGCCAGATTGGCTAGGATATAGGAAGGAGAATATTGGTGTGTTTCAGTTGAGTACTGCTTGCCTATAACAGTAGCAATGGTCTCCTACATTGTCCAACTTTTTCCATTTGTAAACCATTTTCAGATCTAGCGGAAGTTTTTTAGATTCATCACTGAAATATCTTCACTAAGTGCAGAGACTTGAAAGAAAGGAATATTAGATCATTTGGTGGGGAGGAACAAGGTCAGATAGTGGTGTAAACACTTTCTGCACACTCCGCCTTCCCTTGGAAGACCCATGTAGTTGCAGGGAGCACAACCTGGTGAGAGCTGAGCAAGTGACCAATGAAGCCACCCTCCAACACATCCTGTTACCACCCCTCTCCAGCCACCTTCAGTGTGGGACTTAGGCTGATCAAATCTGGGGTAAGCTCAGGACTCCTGGGAACTTTCCTCCCTGCTGGGTTGAAGAAGGGACCTTCATCTCTAAGGGTTTCTGGCAGCGACATTGGGGCCCTGAGGGGAGTGAGGCTTAGGGTGAATCTAATATCTCAAAACACAAAACAGAGAAGACAGAAACAGACCAGCCTCATCTGTCACTGAGTCACTAGATACCAGAAGCAATCCTGCCTTCAGAATTTTTAGCCAAAAAATATGCACTAACAAATTCCCTTTACTCTCTAAGCTTTTGTTAAATTCAAAAGGTATTTTCTCTTACTTGAGGGGCAAGGGTGTGGATACAGCACATTAATGACATTGTCCCTGCAATGATCTTTCAAGACAGATTTTAATGTGGGAGTCATGTGGCTGTACATAATTATTCCATCTCTCTCCCTCCTATGCCCTTTGAGTGTAGGTATGACTACATGACTTCTTTGGCCATGGAAACACAGGCAGGGTGGCATGTATCACTTCAGAGCAGGAGTTTGAGTGCCAGCGTGCAGTGCCTCCCAGGTCAGAAGCCTCATTAGACTTGTATGTCTGTAACAAACCATCCCAACACTTAGGGACATGGCCTTCTGTATTTCAGAACCATTTACTGACTCAGAGTTTCTGTGGATCAGGAATTCTGTCATGGCTTAGCTGGGCATCTATGCCTTAAGGACCCTCCCTTCAGCACTTCAAGGTATTTGTTGTTCAGGAATGTGGTCCCATCTGAAGGCTTGACCATCGGCCTCTAGGGTCATTCACATGGCTGTTGGAAGGATTCCAGCTGTGGAACCTCAGCTGCTGGCTAGCTGTTGGCTGGGGTCTACCCCAGCTTTTTGCCATGTGGGCCTCTCCACAGCATGGCAGGTAGATGAGAGTGAGAGAGGCAGAGAGAGAGAGAAAGAGATGGGGGAGAGAGAAACAGGAGAGAAGGAGGAGCAAAGCATACTGAAGTCACAGTCTTTTTGTAACCAA